AGCTAAGTCTTTGCTTAATCCAGGATCATGAAGATTTACTGTGTTTTATTCCATGTGACTTTATTTTTCATTTTTTTTAATTCCATGTGACTTCATGGTTTAGCTCTCACATTCAGGTCTGTGAATCAATTCTGTACCAATTTCTGTATACACGGAGAGATGAGTGATCCAAGTCTGTGCCCTGACCAGTGGCGCTGAAGAAGCTGAAGCTGACCGGTTCTGTGAAGACCCACAAGACCGTCTAGACTAACACTCCAGAAAGACGTCCTTTTCATCATAGGGGACTGGAATGCAGAAGTAGGAAGTCAAGAGATACCTGGAGTAACAGGCAAGTTTGGCCTTGGAGTAAAGAATGAAGCAGGGAAAAAGCTAATAGAGTTTTGCCAAGAGAACACACTGGTCACAGCAAACACCCTCTTCCAACAACACAAGAGAAGACTCTGCACATGGACATCACCAGGTGGCCAACACCGAAATCAGATTGATTATATTCTTTGCAGCCAAAGATGGAGAAGCTCTATACAGTCAGCAAAAACAAGACTGGGAGCTGACTGTGGCTCAGATCATGAACTTCTTATTGCTGAAATCGGACTTAAATTGAAGAAAGTAGGGAAAATCACTAGGCCACTCAGGTATGACCTAAATCAAATCCCTTATGATTATACATGGAAGTGAAAAATAGATTCAAGGGATTGGATCTGACAGACAGAGAGCCTGAAGAACTGTGGACGGAGGTTAGTGATGTACAGGAGGCATGAATCAAGACCATCCCCAAGAAAAGAAATCCAAAAAAGCAAAATGGTTGAGGAGGCCTTTACAAAGAGCTGAGAAAAGAAGAGAAGTGAAAGGCAAAGGAGAAAAGGAAAGCTCTACCCATTTGAATGCAGAGTTCCAAACAATAGCAAGGAGAGGTAAGAAAGCCTTCCTCAGCGATCAATGCAAAGAAATAGAGGGAAACAATAGAATGGGAAAGACTAGAGATCTCTTAAAAAAAAAAATGGAGATACCAAGGGAACATTTCATGCAAACATGGGCACAAGAAAGGACAGAAATGGTACGGACCTAACAGAAGCAGAAGATATTAAGAAGAGGTGGCAAGAATACACAGAAGAACCATACAAAAAAGATCTTCATGACCCAGATAACCACAATGGTGTGATCACTCACCTAGAGCCAGACATCCTGAAGTGTGAAGTCAAGTGGGCCTTAGGAAGCATCACTATAAACAAAGCTAGTGGAGGTGATGGAATTCCAGCTGAGTTATTTCAGATCTTTAAAGATGATGCTGTGAAAGTGCTGCACTCAATATGCCAGCAAATTTGGAAAACTCAGCAGTGGCCACAGGAATGGAAAAGGTCAGTTTTCATTCCAATCCCAAAGAAACGCAGTGCCAAAGAATGCTCAAACTACCGCACAATTGTACTCATCTCACACACTAGTAAAGTAATGCTCAAAATTCTCCAAGCCAGGCTTCAACAGAATGTGAACTGAGAACTTCCAAATGTTCAAGCTGGAGTTAGAAAAGGCAGAGGAACCAGAGATCAAATTGCCAACATCCATTGGATCATCAAAAAGCAAGAGAGTTCCAGAAAATCATCTACTTCTGCTTTATTGACTACACCAAAACCTTTGACTGTGTGGATCACAATAAACTGTGGAAAATTCTTCAAAAGATGGGAATACCAGATCACTTGACCTGCTTTTTGAGAAGTCTGTATGCAGGTAAGGACGCAACAGTTAGAACTGGACATGGAAAAACAGACTGGTACCAAAAAGGAAAAGGAGTACGTCAAGGCTGTATGTTGTCACCCTGCTTGTTTAACTTGTATACAGAGTACATCACAAGAAACGCTGAGCTGGATGAAGCACAAGCTGGAATCAAGATTGCCATTAGAAATATCAATAACCTCAGATATGCAGATGACACCACCCTTATGGCAGAAGGTAGAGAGGAACTAAAGAGCCTCTTGATGAAAGTGAAAGAGGAGAGTAAAAAAGTTGGCTTAAAACTCAGCATTCAGAAAACTAAGATCATGGCATCTGGTCCCATCACTTCATGGCAAACAGATGGGGAAACAGTGGAAATAGTGACAGACTTTATTTTTTTGGGCTCCAAAATCATTGTAGATGGTGACTGCAGCCATAAAATTAAAAGACACTTACTGCTTGGAAGGAAAGTTATGACCAACCTTAGACAGCATATTAAAAAGCAGAGACATTACTTTGCCAACAAAGGTCCGTCTAGTCAAAGCTATGGTTTTTCCAGTAGTCATGTATGGATGTGAGAGTTGGACCATAAAGAAAGCTGAGCACTGAAGAATTGATGCTTTTGAACTGTGGTGCTGGAGAAGACTTGAGAGTCCGTTGGACTGCAAGGAGATCCAACCAGTCCATCCTAAAGGAAATCAGTCCTGAATATTCATTGGAAGGACTGATGCTGAAGCTGAAACTCCAATACTTTGGCCACCTGGTTCGAATAGCTGACTCATTTGAAAAGACCCTGATGCTGGGAAAGATTGAAGGTGGGAGGAAAAGGGGATGACAGAGGATGAGATGGTTGGATGGCATCACTGATTCTATGGACATGAGTTTGAGTAAGCTCCGGGAGTTGGTGATGGACAGGGAGGCCTGGCGTGCTGCAGTCCATGGGGTCGCAAAGAGTCGGACATGACTGAGCGACTGAACTGAACTGAACTGTGAGGTGAGAGTCTAAATTAATCTTTTTCCCTGTTGATATCCAGTTTTCCCAGCACCATTCTTTGAAAAGACTATGCTTTCTTCATTGATTTCTCTTGACACCTGTGTCACTTAGGGTTCAACCAGAGAAAAAGAACCAGTAGGGGATATGTATTAAGGAATTTGTTTCTAGGAATCGGCTACAAGATGGCTAACTAGGCAAGCTAAAAAAAAAAACTTAGAGCAGGTGTTGGAAATGGCAGGCTGAACCTCTGGCATGAGTTATCCATGGATAGAATTTCTTATTCTTCAGGGAAGCCTCAGCTGTTCTCTTTGGGGCTTTTAAAGAACTGAATTGGACCCATTCCAACCCACTGCAGTATTCTTGCCTGGGAAATCCCATGGACCACAGATGGGGTACAGTCCATGGAGGTCGCAGGTGAGTCAGACACGACTGAGGGACTAAACAATAACAGGCCATGGAGGATCCTTTGCTTTACCGAGAATCAAATGATTATGGACTTCGTCTACAAATTACCTTCACAGCAACACCTAGATTAGGTTTTGATTGAATAACTGGGAGCTGTAGCCCACCCAAGAGGACACAAAACTGTCCCTCCCGGGACACCTGCTGGTCTAGTGGTTAAGACTGCACCCCCCCCGCCCGCCCCCCGCTGCCAGGGGCGTGGGCTGGATCCCTGCTCTGGGAAGTAGGATCCAGCATGCCATGCAGTGCGGCGCCCCCCACCTAAAAAATAAACAGAAACAAAAACCAAACTGTCATGATACTTCTGTAAAAAATGAATTGGCTGTGAATGTACAGATTTGGTTTTGGAATTTCAGTTCTTTTCCATTGATCTGCATGTCTGACCTTATGCCAGAAGAGCATTGTTTGATTCTTTAAGTTTGTGGTCAATTTTCCAATTGGGAAGGGTGCGTCCTTCCACTGTGTTCTTCCTTTTCAGGATTTCTGTTGTTGTTGTTGTTGTTGTTCTGGGTCCTTTGCCTTTCTATATAATTTTAAGGTTGTGTGTGTTAAGTCACTTCAGTCGTGTCTGACTCTTTGCAAGCCCATGGACTATAACCTGCCAGGCTCCTCTGTCCATGGGATCCTCCAGGCAAGAATACTGGAGTGGGTTGCCACACTCTCCTCCAGGGGACCTTCCCAACCCAGGGATCAAACCCAGGTCTCTTATGTCTCCTGCATTGGCAGGCGGGTTCTTTACCACTAGCACCACCTGGAGAGCCCAATTTTAAGGTCAGCTTGTCAATTTCTGGGCTTCTCTAGTGGCTCAGCTGGTAAAGAATCCCCCTGTAATGCGGGAGACCTGGGTTTGATCCCTGGGTTGGGAAGATCCCTGGCGCAGGGAACGGCTGCCCACTGCAGCACCCTGGCCTGGAGAACGCCGTGGGCTGTATGCAGTCCGTGGGGTCGCAGAGTCAGACACGCTGAATGGCTTTCATTTCATTTGTCAGCTTCTGGGGAAATAAAAAAAGGCTTCTAGGTCTTGATGGAAATCGCATTGAGCCTAGAGATCAGGTTGGGGATAACAGCCATCTTTTGTATTTCCTTTTCTGGGGCCGCTTTAGGTCTTAGTTGTGGCGTTGTGCTCTGTAGGGTCTTCCATCCTGGCACACGGGTTCTCTAGCTGTAGCAGACGGGCTGTGGAATCCTCCCCAGCCGGAAACTGGACTTCTGTCCTCTGCATTGGCACGCGGATTCTTAATCACTGGACCACAAAGGACGACCCTCTTGGTATGTTTTGGATAGCAGGGTTTTTTTTTTTATAGCAGTTCTTTATCAGGTAAGTCTTTTGTTGATATCCTTTCAGTCTGTGACTTGTCTTTTTATTATCTGGATAGTGTTTTTTCCAGAACAGAAGGTTTTAATTTTAATGAAGTAACGAGTTTATCAATTCTTTCTTTCATGGATTGTGCCTTTGGTTTTGTATATCAAAAGTCATCACCCAACCAAAGGTCATCTAGATTTCCTCCTGTGTTATCTGGAATAAGTTTTGTAGTTTTGCATTTTACATTGAAGTCTGATCCATTATCAATTAATTTTTATGAAAGGTGCAAGGTTTGTGTCTAGATTAACTTTTTTTTTCATGTGGATGTCCAGTTGTTCTGTCCAGTTGTTCTTGACAGAATCTTGTGGATTTTTTATTTCAGTTGTCTTTTATCTCCAGATTTTCCATTTGCTTACTTTTTTGTGTGTTCGAATCACTTATTACAAAGAAATATTATTTTCAGTCTTGAAAGTTTTAGAGCCAAAGCATCTTCTCTTACTGAAGAACTGAAATGTTTGCAAAGAGTGAAAAGTGATGGAAGTCTACAAAAGCATTTTGAAGATCCAGGGAAGGAGCCTCAGACTTGCTCTGGAAGCGTCAGTGGCTGAGATGAAGGGCCGCAGAGCAACGTTTTCTTTAGAATGCCAAGCTGGGAGTCAGCTCTTGCTGCAGAAGGATCAGCCAAGGCCGAAACGATGGAGGCTGCAGCGGAACCTGCGGGCACACCTGGGTCCTTCCGGTGTGAAGCTCCGCGCACGAGCTCTGACTGCCCGGGAAGACGGCGGCGGGCGGGAGGGCGGCTCGGCGGGAGCCTTGACCGGCGAGCTGCGCCACCGGCGGCAGCTGCAGCGCTCCGTGCTCCCAGGAGGGGTCAGCACAGCTCGGGAGAGGAGCGCCCACGGCCAGCTTCCTACGCGCCCCAGCCACAGCCGCGCAGCCTCGGCCGTCCGCGCGCCCTGCCGCGCCCGCGCCCTCCGGCGGCGTTTCTGCCTCACGCTGTGCCAGAGGAAAGGGAGGGAGACTGCCCAGCGCCCGGCGACGGTCCGGGCGTCTCAACTGGGGGTCTCCACCCTCTCGCTTTGGGTGGCTACAGGGTTTCCTAATTTTCTGTTTTCTAGAGTTGACGGGATTATGTACCCAAAAGAGCATTGTATGGATACCTTTTCCAGGAATGTACAAAATGCGTGGGGTTTTTCTCGGAATGAACTTCTCCTTCTGCAAGTTTTGAAATAGTTCAGGCACTGAGGGCAAGTCCCGCGACACATGTGGGATTCAGGTTGTGAAGTTGTGGGGCTGACGTCGGGGTGGGTCTCGAAGTGGTTCTAGGTCGAGGACTTCGGCCTCACTGCGGTATGCACAAGAGGTCAGATGGTGCGAGCGCCGTCTGCTCCGTGCCCTGGCCTCCGCTGTGTGCTGTAGCCTTTTAAAAATTATTATCTATTTTATTTCTGGCTTAATTGCATGTCCTGTGATATCTTAGGTCCCTGACCAGGGGATAAACCTGCATCCCCCACACTGGAATCACGGTGTCTTAACCACGGGACCACAGGAAGTCCCGTGTGTGCTGTCGCTTTTAATCCCACGGCGACATTCTGAGTCTTAGACCCGAGGCAGGAAGGGGCCAGGCGCCCTTAGCTCTTCTTTGTGTTTGTTAATAATCTGCAGTACATGTTGCTGTTGTGCTTTAGTTGCTAAATCGTGTCTTTATGCGACCTCATCGACTGTAGCCTGTCAGGCTCCCCTGTCCATGGATTCTCCAGGCAAGAATACTGGAGTGGGTTTCCATTTCCTCCTCCAAGAGATCTTCCTGACCCAGAGATCAAACCTGAGTCTCCTGTGTCTTCTGCGTTCCAGGCAGGTTCCTTACTTGCCGAACCATCAGGGAAGCACACGCACGCTCAGAAACATAAATATAATTCTTCTGTCATCGTTTACGGTTTTGAAAATATTTAAAATACCTGCTTTGAAGTCCCTTTGTGCTCAGTCCAACATCTAGGCTCTGTCAGAAACAGTTTTGGGTTTTTTTTTTTTTTTTTAAAACATACTTTTCTTTTTTTTGGCCAAGTCACATGGCTTGCAGGATCTTAGTTCTCTGACTAGGGATTGAACCTGGGCCATGACAGTGAAAGCCCAGAATCCTTAACCATTGGGCCACAGGGGAACTCCCTCAGAGACAGTTTTTAATGATTGTTCTCCCCCTTGTGTATGCATTATACTTTCTTGTTTGCGTGTCTCCTGACTTTGATGTTATCACAGCCGCTCTGGCTGGTAATAGATCTTCTCGGGTTACTCCCTGGGAAGTCAGCCCCAGCAGTGGGGCAGCCAGGCCTGGTGGTGTCCTGTCCTGCTGCCTCTCCTGTGTGAGGACAGTTGTTGGGGGGAGGTGACAGGACCACCCTGGCAAAACTGCCGTAGGTCCCCATGGGCACCCTCTGAGCACCCACCGTCTTTCTTGAATAAGCATTCCCAATGCCCTTGATCAGTTCCCAAGGTCCTGAAATTTCTGCTTGTATTCTAGCTTTCTCGGGAAAGGCTTTCTGGGCTCTTTAGTCCTCTGCTCTGGATGCCTCTCCATCTCTGCTTCAGTCGCCTGTGGGCAGAACTTCGCACCCGTGGAGCCACGCGGTGTGTTTATTTTGTGTCTGGTCTCGGATCAGCACAGTGTTTGTGAAACGCACCCCTGTTGCAACGTGCAGTCTGGTTTCCAGTTTCCTCACTGCAAACATTTTGTTTTAGGAATCTACCACGTCTTCTTTATCCATCACACCGCCGGTGCTTGACACTTGCATTATTTTTGCTGTTGTGAGTAACAACCCTAAGTATTTGTGCAGACATCTCTGCGCACGGGGCGTGCACAGCAGTCTGGGTTCTTCGGCCTCGAACTGTGTCCCTCCCTGGAATTAATATGTTGGGTATTAATCCAGCACCTCAGAATATGACCTTATTTGGAGAAAAGTTCTTTCCAGAGATAATCAAATTACGTTGAGGACTCTGAGGTGGGCCCTCATCCAAAGTGACTGGTGTCCTTATAAAAAGGGGAAGTTTAGACCCAGGCAGACATGCACAGAGGGAGCACTCAGAGTGCCCTGCTCTCTGCGACCCCCTGGCCTGCAGCCCGCCAGGCTCCTCTGTCCATGGGATTCTCCAGGCGGGAATACTAGAGTGGGTGGCCATTGCCCCCTCCAGGGGATCTTCCCGACCCAGGGGCTGAACCCCTGTCTGTTGTGTCTCCTGCATTGGCAGGCGGATTCTTCACCACCTGGGAAGACTGTGCAGAGAAGGGAGGCCCAGGGGGAAGCTGGCCACCCACCGCGGAGTCCAGACTCCTGGCCTCCAGGACTGAGTGGTAACACACTTGTGCTGTTTAAGTCACGCAGACTGGGGGGCTGTCAGGGCAGCCCTAGGGAGGAGGACTGTGTGTATACCTTGGGGTGGAATTTGGGGTCTCAGCCACTAAGCTGCACTGTCCCCAGAGACGCACCCTCACCGCAGCACCCGGGGAGTCCCTCTCAACCACAGACTCACGGATAGTCGGTGTTGTCAGAGGTGTCTCCTGGAGGTTTTAGCTTGCACTTCCTGGATGACTTTTGTCAAGTGCCTATTCAAGTCTTTTAAACATTTTGAAGTGGATTGTCTTCTTCTTTTGTCTTAAAAATTTTTTTTTGTTAAAATCTTGTTGATTTACAAAGTTGTGTTGGTGTCAGGTGGACGGCAAACTGTATATGGACAGATATTCTTTCCCCAAAGCAGTCTCTCCCACTATAGGTTATTGCAAGATATTGAGTATGGTTCCCTGTACTATACAGTAGATTGTCTTTTTCTTCCTGTTTTGTAAGTGCCTCATGGATTCAGGGGGGCTTCCCTGGTGGCCTGGACAGTAGAGAATCTGCCTGCAATGCCGGAGATCCAGGTTCAATCCCTGGGTCAGGAAGATCCCCTGGAGTAGGAAATGGCAGCCCACTCCAGTACTCTTGCCTGGAAAATCCCATGGACAGAGGAGCCTGGTGGGCCACAGTCCACGGGGTCACAAAGAGTCAGACATGAATGGGCGAGAACACTCTCACTTCGCACACTTTCGTGGGTTCTGAAGACAAGCCTGTTGCTGATGGTATGTGTGGTGATGGTATGTTCCTCCCTGTCTTTCTTCTCCTGGTAGCTGATGAGCAGATGTTCCCAGTTTTAATGTTTTCTTGTATATTACTTTTTTCTTTTTTTGGCGTTTTGTGTCCTTTTAAAGAAATCCTTTCTTACCCCTGAAGGCAGGAAGGCAGGCACCCATATTATGCCCAAGAATGAGAATTGTTTGGCCTGCAAATCTCTCCTGACCAAATTGAGTTTTGTGTGTGATGTGACCTGAGATTGAATTTTGTTTTCGTTTCAAATGTGTTCCTCAGCGTGCCCCGAGCCACGGCGGCTTCTGGCATCAGCCGGGTCTCGCGGACCCCTGGGCCACCTCTTGGACCCACCACGGGCAGCGCTGAGTCTGGGGTCTCAGGCAACACCTGCTCCCACCAGTCCCCACCTGTTCTCCGTCCTTTGGATTTTTCACAACAGTTTTAGAGTCAGCCTGACAAGTTTCTCCTGAACCCTGAGGATTCTCATTAGGGTTTCATGGAACCTATGAATCATTGTAATATTTAATCTTCTCACCTCTGAGCTTGGCTTAGCTTCTGTGAGTCTATGTTTTTAAAATACTCCTCGGAAATGATTTCTTGTTTCATATGTAGAGAGCTTACACAGAGGGTTTTTTTTGTTGTTGTTAAGATTTATTTCTGAGGGCACGGAGCGCAGGCGCAACCGAATCTGCGCTTTTGTGGAGTACCCGAAAACTGGAACCGCACTCAACACAGGGCCCGCTCCATATAGAGCAGCCGGGAGCCTGAGCAGTGTAGACGGCGAAAGCACTGACACCCGTGAGCGGGGCAAACCCAGTGTGGCCGGAACACGGTGAGTGCCATCCACACAGAGCGGTATCTGTCTGCAGCGCCCCGCCCTCCCCGTAGCAGGACTGAACTGAACTGGAGAACCTAAATAAGAGATCACCTCCGCCCGCCTGTGTCAGGGCGGAAATTAGACACCAAAGAGACGGCAAACAGAAGCCAAATAAACAAAGGGAACCGCTTCAGAAAGGACTGGTGCAACAGACTAAAATCCCTGAAGGTAACACCGACTACACCAGAAGGGGCCTACAGATATCGAGAAGTGTAAGCTGGAAAGAGGAGCTATCTGAAATTGAACTGAACCTACGCTGACTGCAACAACTCCAGAGAAATTCCTAGATATATATGTATATATTTTTTAATTAAAAAAATTTTTTTCTTTCCTTTTTTTAATTTTTAATTTTTTCTCTTTTATTTTCTTTTAAAATTCCCTATTACTCCCCCATTACTCCTCAGCTTTCATTTTCATATATTTTTATGATTTTTTTAATTAGGGAAAAAAAATTTTTTTCTTTTTTTTTCTTTTTCTTGTTTTTCTCTCCTATTTCCTTTTAAAGTCCTCTAATACTCCTCTATTATTCCTTAATTTTCATTTTCATTTCACTATAACCTTGCCAAAAAAAAAAGAGAGAGAGAGAAACCCTATTTTTAAACCAAACTTCATATACATTTCTAAATTTTTTGTGTGTTTTTGTTTTTGTTTTCAAATATTGTATTTCAAAGAGTCTAACCTCTACACTAGATTTTTAATCTTTGTTTTTCAATATGTGATATAAATTTTGGACATTTAAGAATCCAATATTCAGTTCCCATTTCTATTCAGGAGTGTGGTGATTACTCTCCCACTTTTGACTCTCTGTTTTCTACCTCAGAACACCTCTATTTCCTCCTTTCCCCTTCTCTTCCCAATCCAACTCTGTGAATCTTTGTGGGTGTCTGGGCTACGAAGAACACTTTGGGAACAGATAACTGTGTAGATCTGTCTCTCTCCTCTTGAGTCCCCTTCTTCTCCTCCTGCTCACCTCTATCTCCTTCCTCCCTCTCCTATTCTTCATGTAACTCTGTGAACCTCTCTGGTTGTCTCTCACGGTGGAGAATCTTTTCACCATTAACCTAGAAGTTTCATTATCAGTGCTGTATAGTTGGAGAAGTCTTGAGACTATTGGAAGAATAAAACTGAAATCCAGAGGCAGGAGACTTAAGCCCAAAACCTGAGAAAACCAGAAAACTCCTGACTACACGGAACATTAAGGAATAAGAGACCACCCAAAAGCCTCCCTACCTACACCAAAA